CTTAAGCTCACGGAAGAAGATGCTGCTGCGTGCCCACTCTACGATGGAGAAGAGAGTCTGGTCGGCCATTTTGCACATGAGGCCGAAGGTGTTGGAGCTTCTCGTGTTTTCCTCGGCTGGCCTGCTCCTGCTGAAGGTAGGCCATGATCTTGGCCTGTACCTGCGGCTCATCTGGCTCACACTTGAGCAGCTCTACGATCAAGTGAGGAAAGCTGGGCGGCGAGCCGGTCTGGTAGGCGTCGACATAGGCGTAGCCCATGATGGACTCCGGCGAGCTGGTGTACGGGTCTGGGTACTCTGACTTGATGGTGCGTGTGCCTTGGAAATGTCCGTAGGCCGCCTGGTAACCCTGCAGGCTGCCGGCGTGTGGCGGCATAGCCATGCTGACCGGCGAAGTGACGAATGGCTGCGATCATAGTCTGTGGGGGGCAGGGCGGTGGCATGATGGTGGTGGTGGTGGTGGTGGTGGGTGACCGACGTGGTGCCCAGGGTGGTGGCTCAGCGGAAGGCCCTTGGATGCGGCCGAGTGGATGTTCTGAATGGCTGAGGAGATGGTGAGGTCGGTGGGCACGGCTTGCATCACCTGAGTCATGGCCTCAATCTTCAGGCCGTTGGCTCGGATCAGAGCCTTCTTCTGCTGCTTCAGGGCCCGGTCCCGTTTGTACATCGGGCCGAACTTGTTGCGACCGCCACGCATGCGATCCGCCACGAACAGCTGACAAACACACGGAAAGAGAGAGGGAAAAGAGGGACAAGAAGGAAGAGGAAATGATTAGCTCTCTGGTATGTAACTCTTCTTTCCTGCCTAGAACACATTTTGGAAAATACTATCCATCTTTTGACACATTCACATTTAAATCAAGCTCTTTAAAAACAAACATTTGTGAATCGTTTATGAGCTGAAAAACTACGTTGTGGTGGATTTCACATGAGCGACTATTTGAAATAGAAATACTTTCAACACTTATTACAGACATAATCCTGTGGTTTTATGCTGCCATACTATTTGTCAATGTATGTTTACAGATTTAAGGTGTTTGTGGAAAGGAACTGCTCATTACTCGTAACTTGTATATAGGGCAAACGTTTTCCAGTGGTGATTACACTTGACATTTACCTGTTGACTGCTAAACCTCACATGTCTAACAGATAGTGTTGTTACTCATTGACCGGAGCCACAAACTTCTATGAACTGCTTGCCTGAATGATAATTTTACAGCTGGCTATCTGTGTCTACTACTCAGTGAATGCACACCTCAAAAGCTAGCTAATTGTATAGACTAAGAAAGCGATCTTTCTAAAATACATCTTTTACAGATTTTATCCCTAAAGGATAAAGGCTGACAATAAGAAAATTGTTGTGTTTTTTTTTCTGGTAAGACAAACAAACCCATGATGCCCTGCTTCCCCCCCCCCCCCTCAGTGTGGTATCCTGTGGTGAGGATCACAACGAGTCAGTGCCGTGGGTATTTCTAATGAACGAGCCGGGTACACAGTGGACTGCTACGAGGGCCATGTGTGATCATGCAGACTTCTGCCATGGGGAAGCTGCTCTGCTGTCTCCCAGTCGGGGGGGCGCTAGTGTTAATTATTCATACTTAATTACCTCTTACTCTGACGAGGCTCGCCGAGCCCAGGGTGAAACGAGCTAACGGACGTCTGGAAGACTATGCTACAGTAAACACTCACTTATACCAATACGCTAGAATATCAGAGGGTTATTTTCATTGTACTCAATGAGAGAAACCCACAAATGTAACTGTGAATGCAAATACATGCAAATACATTTGTACTGACTAGTCAAATAACATGGCGAGGCAGGCCTCAGCCCACTCCACTTCATGATGTCTTGATGGATGAAATGAAAGAACAGAAGAAGAAAATTGAAGAGCTGGGTGTGGAGGAGGAGGGGTGGGGTCGAAAGTGTGGGAGTGAGGAAGGGCACACACACATACACTGTGAGCTGCCTTGGGAGTGATTTTAATGACCTCCGTCACAAAAAGTGTCTGCCACTGATCTGAGCGTGAAAAGCCGGGAGGACACACACAACACACACACACACACACACACACACACACACCACACACACACACACACACACACACACACACACACACGCACACGCAGCCCCACATGCTGAATCTTTCTCATACATTTTTAAAGAAAACACAAACACACACGGAAGGCATCATACACTGGTCCAGATCACACACAGTGCGTTGGTAGCAGGCCAGACGCTCCGCCACCTTAGAGAGGCCCCCGTCGACTCAAATGCAATGTCATTTATACACAGTGAATTCACAAAAACTCACTACAATTTCCCAACATGGCTGAGATCACTTTTAGTGCCCACTTAACGAGGTTTAGGGATTATCTTGACCGATTACAATATGTTATCACATTTCAGAGGAAAAAAGAAGGGAATCAGGACTGTCAAATGTATCCATTATACATTATTGTAAGGCAACTTTAACTATTAATGATTTCTCCACAACAGCGTGATTAACGAGCTGAGAAACTAACAGTTGGCCCTCCTGGGAAAACAAAATTAGGCCCTGACTACTATTAGGCGCCTCTTGCCTGCCTCAAACCAAGGGAAGCTACATCACATCATGAATATCAGGATCGGGGGGGGGGGGGGGGGGGGTGCAGGTCTCAAACACACTCCACACACACACATTCTTTGTCTCTAATTTAACAAGGTGATTTGCATGCATGTAACACAGATTAATATGGAAAGGGAGGAGGGGAGGGGAGCAGGACACTATGTGTGTGTGCGTTTTGGGGTAGAAGAGGAAAATGTGTGTTTGACTGAGGTTGAGAGTTGTCAATGGCTTGGATGCTGAAGCATTGAGCTTATGATAAAAAATATCATGGGACCCTCTAACTTAAGAAGATAACAGGGTCTAAAACATAGTGGTAAGGTAATTGGTAAATGTTTCATGCCTAAACATTTATAAATACATATATATGTTATTAGAATTATAATAAGTTATAAGCATAAAAGCTTGTATCTGGTAATCTAGCAGGTGTATGTGGTGCCAAACCTCATCAAAGGAAATGAATGAAAAAAGACAACAGTGTTTGCCTTTGAAAGTGCAGCTATGAACATTTAAATCAGGTGCAAAGGAATA